AAGAATCGTTCAAAATTAAATACTGTCTGTAGTTTACGCCAGTAGTACACATTTAAATAAAACGGCAGCCATGGTCACGGGGAGACTAAAGTAGTCTCCCCTTAACCACGGCTGCAGTAGAGCACCCGAAACTTGGCCCGTAGTTAAAAATAATTTGAAATAATATATATCGCGTTTTAAACCGTTAAAGTGTTTTATTTAAATCTCTTTTTACCTATTAAGTGTTTTAATTGTCCTTAAACATAAAAATAAATAAAGCGCTTATGACTTTCTACACTTTAAATAGGTTTGACGGAGGTAAAACTTGTACGGCGTCTCATTGAGACATATCTTTTGTTATTAAGCGGACCTGATAAAGGACAATCAACAAAAAAGGGTTTAGTTCATTCCTAGTATGAGTTAACAACATGCAACTTAAATATAATAATATAAATAATTCAAATTTCAAATTTGTTGGTACATTGGTAAGGTGTACGTTTCCCAAAATAGACGTGCCCAATTTCCCTATTAATTATCCCTCCACTCGAGAAACTCTCAAATTATTTGGTAACGTGTTCGCAACCCCAACGAGTGGCAATAAACCGCAAGATAGAATGCCGCTGAAGTGTCCTCAAGTTAAATCTCTTACGTGGCAGCATTTTATAATAACCCACAAAACGTATCGATGAAACACTAAAATAAATTGACTATAATTATTATTAATAGAGCAAAAAACAGGTTTTTATCGTGAACTAAATAAATCGTTTAAAATTTAATTGACCCCTTAAAAGATAGCTCATTTGATTATGTTAATAATGATTATATGAAATACGTCATAATGTGACAATATGACTAAATACAGATTATAACAAAGATTTTTAGAGAAAATTAACAGACTAACAATTGATATTTTTATATTTACATATTTTTTTTAAGTATAGTTAACTTGAAATAAATATTTCTTTTGAAAATGTTATTGCATTTTTTTATTAGATTAGATTTTACTAGAATCTAATATTCTACTAAGTGTAAGTATACATATATACCGAAGTAGGAAAACGTATTTGCTGTAAGCCTCAAACAATCGAAATTACGTTTTTTACATCATTTTTATCAGAAATAAATACTGTGTCGATTGGTCTGGTTCTCATATTACTACGACAAAATCAGTCACGCCGTCAGGTGTTTGAAAAATATTTGTGTTTGTTAGTCGTAAGTCTGCCAAACACTCTTCTTTTTATGCATTTGTTGGTTACGCCATTTTTGCAGTCAGCAAATTTTTCAATTTATTACGCCGGATTACGCCAGTTTAGGGGGATGATGTATTTTCATTGCCTACTCTTACGTTTTTTTTATATCTGATTCGATTAGCTTGATTTATTTGGTATTTGATTTTGTTGACTATGTTATTAGTCATTATAATAATGCGTTTTAAATAAAACAGGTACTTAAAATGTATTTAAGGTACCTGTTTTTTTACATACGTTAAAATCGTGTTCCTACGATGTGTAGTTTTTGAGTTACGATTTCTTTGTAAATTTGAAAAAAGTTTTTTGGCTTCGGTGAACATCTCTTATTTTGCAACTTACAGCAAATACGTTTTCCTAAGTCGATCTTAATAAGATTACATACCTAAATGTGTCCGTCTTAAAAAGGCTAATATAATCCAAAATTGACGCAATATTAAATCTACAAACCACACCATTAGACTGTTCCGTGTTTAACATTAGTTTAATTCCAGCTTGGGTTGGTGGTCAGATGTAATTGTGCGGTTAACGCACTGAATTAAGCCTAAATGCATATATTGAGTGAGTGTACGGGCAACTAATAGAATAACTGATACTACTTTAAATAAAACGGTTTAAAAGGCGAAATATATAAATTATTTTTGGTTACAGATAATAATAAATAAAAAAAATATAAGAATTATTAGTTAAATTTGTATACAAGTTTCAGTAATATATTTCGCGTTTTAAACCGTTGAAGTGTTTTATTCAAATACTCACGTAAACCACAATTATGTCGGCGATAGGGCAGAGGTTTCGTGTTTATTTTTGCACAAATACCAGAATTAGATTGACCTGTAATTTACAATAAATCGGATATTACAATCACAAATTCCTTTAAAACAAAATTATTGAAATGACTATATAAAATCTTAAAACATAGTTGAATATTTTGAATTATGGTTATTATACATTTTGTAGCATTCCAATGCATTTATTTTATACGAATTACATTTATCCTATAAACAAACTTCATTTCCTTAGAGGTTATGAAAACTAACTATAGATGGCGCCACTAGTTAAACGCAAATCAAATTAGGCTTTGTTCGTTTATTAAAACAATTAGAGTTATAATAATGATTAATTATTCATCTAATTTTACTGTAAATATTTATACAAAAATAATCTATATAATATAATACGAGTCAAATATTTACAAAATAGTCAATACAATGTCTTTAAAATTTGAGTTCATTTTTCAAACTGTATTGAAGTTCATTCATGTACCTAGTTACCTATAGACATAAATGATGCTTGATTTGATATAGAATCCACTGCTGTGGTTCAACTGTATAGATCTCAAATTCGAGTTCGGGTAAGTTATATATAGGTTGTGGTTACTGATAAACACATTCGTCATTAACATTATAAAAAAATATGCTTCGGTGTTAGCAGATCATCAGTTTAGATAATAGAAAAGAGCGCAACCATTGCGGAGGGAAACGAGAAGGTTATGACAGACTTAAAACTAACCCCAGAGCTGAATCTTAGAGACAAAGAAGTTTCTCGTCTGCGCAACCTCGGTGGCGAGTGAAAAGTAAATTGTCGGTCGTACTAAAGACAAACGATGACGTCACGCGAACAGTGCAGCCATTTATCACAATTAGCGATGCCACGAGCGCGTTTCGGTGAAAGTCGCTCGTCTGTGACGGACCTATTAAACGATCTCCTTTGTTTGTCGTTTAAATAATCCTCTATACATACAAATAAATTCTATAAATAAATATTAATACAACGTGTAAAACACGGACACAAAATTGAAGAATAAGTAAATAATGCTACATACAGAAAAACTAATTCTATAAATAAATAACATAATAATGTATCACTCCACTATATAATTAACATAACCTGTATGACACATTGTTTTACAAAGATAAATCACAAAAAAAAAGACTCGGACATAAGACCGTGGATTTTGTTATTTATTTAAACAAGTACTGTTTTTTAAGTATAATCTTATCTAATAAAAACTGTCATACAAGCTAAATCAATGAAAAAATGCTTAGAAATGAACGCACCGTGCCGGGCCGTGTCCGCTTGTGATACTCTTATTTGATATTTCTAGTCAAATGAGAGTCTACGTCAATAGGAGCCTACGCTTAACGGTTAACGCCGAATATTCAAAGCCAAAATAGGTCGACCGCGCATCTTGTAAAGACGTTATGTGGCTGGGTTACTTTAGCAACCACTAAGTGAACCGAAAGCTTGTCTGACCTCCTCTGGCGTTAAAAAAGTATAGGGCAACAATATCATGCTCTATACCATGTTTTAAAAGATTCTCATTAGCTTGAAAAACAACATGGCAACACCAACTAATTACGTCGATAGCGTAGTGCAAATACAAATTCTTCAACGCTACCATCAATTTGCGCTAAAAATAAAACCGCTGTCAAAACTTCACTAGTTAAAAATGAACTACAGAAGGCCAGCTACCGAACCGTTGCTAATTACTGGCAACTTGCAATCAATCTTTTATTCACCTAATTGTCGATGTGGCCGCGTCTGACAGTACCTTAATTGCTATAAATTAACGCCATTATAACTGTATTGGATGATTCAGTTCAACAAGAAATATCAATTATTGTATTTAGCATTGGCTATAGGTGAAATTAAAGAATCATTTAAATGAAAAGAAAGTAAAAATATATGTTATTTTTTGTGTTTTAAACTTGGAACGAAGGGTTTTATTGCATGTGTCATTATAGGTTTTCATCGGTATAATATAAACCTAGTTTGCAGCTAATGCAAACTTGCAGCTAAAGATTTTTCGTAAATAACGTTACCTCAATCAAATAAAGTTGTAGTTATTTTTAAACGCCTCTGTAGCCAAATGGTCAAACGTTGTTTCGGTCGCAGGGCACAGTAGTCTACTACTTGCCTGTAATCGATTTGTGAAACGGACACAGAAATGTGTTCACCCCATGTCCCACGGGTGGAAATATAGTTTGACTTTTACAACAATTTTACGTACTGCTTCATATTCACTGTTAGTACGCGAAGATTTATATTCTATGAAACTTTGTATTAAAACAGGGGTTATTACCTACGATCTTTATTCGTTCTATTCTTTAATATTAAAAACTGCTAGAAATACATTCTGGGTGAGAATTTTTTTTTTTAGATATAATTATTATTACATTCTTTAATTAGAAAACCACTAATTTAAGTAAAAATCTCCCGATATTATAGCTAGTTAGTATAGTTAAGTCATCGTTATAAGTTATTATTGATGCACTTATAAAATGTCTTAAAATAGTATGTCCACTTCTTTTATTAATATAATTATAATTTGAATCTTTCATTAGAATACCAGTAATTTTGTGAAAAATTCCGAAATTATATACATAGTAAATACATATTTTTGAGTTCAAAGTCTGTGCACGCTCAAAGTACATTCAATTGAATTTTGATTATTATTTCTGTTTTATCGGTTTATGAAGTGTGTGTACTCCACAAACATATAGAACGCGAGTCCTTATCTTGTCCACCTAACCTTATTCGATTTAACACGATTCTGTTTCGTAATCGTGTAATAACAATTATATCACTTTATCAATACTCAATCAAGGAATTCGATTAGATATTATATTATCTAAACATAGCAAAATTGAAATCTGGGACTGTATTGAATGTACATAAAATTCAAAATCGATTAAATCAATTTTGTGATTATCACGTAATAACAATGGTAGAATTCATTTAATTAAGTTAGTGCTAGTAAATGGGACAAAGATGTTATTGAAAATTGTATTTGTAAGTGTTTTAGGCCTAGTTATTGCAGAAAAAGTGCGATATGATAATTTTGCGCTTTACAAAATATATCCCAACACCAAAGAACATGTAGAGTTTTTGAAGGATTTGTACGAAGAGTCAGATGGGTTAGATTTTTGGATACCGCCTGTGAGAGTGGGTGAATATGTAAATGTCGTTTCGTCTCCGGAGAGGCAGATGGAGTTTGAGCATTCGATGAAAAAGAGGAGCCTTAACTATGACGTCATGCTGCAAGATATACAGCAGTAAGTAACTATACAAACTATGATTTCGAATTTTTTAACAAAATTACTGGTATCTCTGAAAGATTCTGATTATAATTATAATAATAAAAGAAGTGGACATAAATCTATTTTAAGACATTTTACAAGTGCAACAATAATAACTTATAACGATGAGTTAACTATACTAACTAGCTATAATATCGCAAGTTATTTAATAAAATTAGTGGTATTTTAATAAAAGAATCTAATAATAATTACATTAATAAAAGTGGTGGAAATAAATTTATTTAAGGACGATTTCGAGGCATTTTTATGTAGGTTTCTGTAAGCAACATACTCTTACTAAATAAAAATTTTGGTTTCAGAGCCCTTGACGATCAAATAATGTTTCGAAAGAAACGTGATACCAGACGAGAAATGTTTTGGACAAACTACCAGACTTTGGAAGACATATACAACTGGTTTTACTATTTAGCTGAGACTCATAGTGATATCGTTTCTATTATTCAGGCAGGCACTTCTTTTGAAGGTAAGGTTCTTTTTAGGTGCACTCAATTGGTAGAGGAACAGCACATAATGCTGACGATGCCGGATCAAGTCCTGCCCGGGTCGAAAAGTTTTTCAATGTTACATGTAAAAAATAATAAAGTCCAACATGTTTCAGAAAAATTATTAATTGAAAAATTAGAAACATGTTAATGTGGGGATCAACCCACGACCCGTTGAATATAAGCCATACATCGCTACCATTAGACCAAGGGCCCGACAGATTTGTGGCATTATCACATTTTTTACAGGTAGAAACATAACTGGTGTCAAGATAGCGAGAAACTCTGGAAGGAAGATATTCTTGATAGAAGGAGGCCAAATCGCTGCTGATTGGTTGTCTCCAACAGTCATTACCTACTTGGTGGATCAGTTAGTAAGGGGCGAAGACCCTGAAGCTTTAGCTGCTTCCCGCGACTACGAATGGCATATCTTCCCCATGATCAATCCCGATGGACACGAGTATACTAATAATGCTGTGAGTTTATTTTCATTATTTCAAACGTATTTCAATTATTTGAATATCTGAATGTGTAAATTTGTCTTAAAGATTATATTATTATATATAATTAACTAAGAATAAGTCTGTTTACGTATTTTACGTTCAGTCTGTATTATGTCTTTATCTCCCTATATACATATCTTACTTATAAGTTAGGTACATAAGAATTATTCTTATTATAATGAGCTACTAAACTACTCAAAGTTTAAAGCATAATTGTGTACCTAGTTAGTAAGCCTTGTTTTATAAATAAACGTCTTCCAATTATCAAACGCTTACAAGCAATTCGTATGAAATAGTACATTATAATATAAGTGCGGTAAGTTGAAAATTACAGCCGAGGCGATATTACTAGCCCGAGCCACCGGCGAGAGCTATAAGAAAGCAGAGGCTGTAATTTTCAAAGCGCACGTATGTCATACGACGTTTTATAACATATTTACGAGGAAATTAATAAAACTTAGTTAAACGAATAAATCTTTAATTAATTGTTAAAGCAGTTATAAAAAATTTTACTTGTCCACAAATTTTTAGGCAAAGGCACAAAAACAGTCAGTATTACTATAAATATTTTTGTGTTATTGTTATAGATTTGTGTTATGGTTGTAATTTATTGTCAAAACTATTTAAATTAAAGAATTAAATGTTTATTATATTTTACTTTCCAAAGTTAACTTTATTCATAAAATAATGACCACTTTCTTGACATAAAACCTCTTTGCTAAGATTTTTAAAGGTATCGTTTATTTTTATACGGAGTATCGTCGAACTTTATTTCTAAAAAAGGTGCATTTTACATTACATTATCGCACAAGTACATAATGAGATACATTACGATATTGAAATTGTTGTAATTACAACCACTTTACGAGCAAATATGTTAAAAAATATATTACTGTAGTTGAAATATTTGCTAGTGGACATTCCGGATAGATGCAGAGGGATATAGAGTTTTTATGGGGTAGGGTACTGAAAGCGGTATGCATAAACAGTTACCTTTCTTTACCAGTTAATCTTAATAAGCCTATGTCAATAAGTTAAATAAATTCATCGTCAATCAATAAATGTTTAGTTTTAAAGCACTTTAAAGGCCGTGTTTCAACATCTTTCACTTTATAATTAATTTCTGTTATAGATTCGGCTGTGGAGGAAGAATCGTCGGCCGATCTCTGGATCAGCAGTTGGTGTTGATCTTACAAAGAACTGGAATTCACAGTGGGGAGGTGAATATTAAACGAAATTCCTTTATCAAATATGCTATAAATTTGCAATTACTGTGAACGAACTACATTGAGAACTGTGTCCAGTATAACCTGCAACCGATTTACACTCGTAACATGTAAGGTTCGATTCGCGACAAGAAAAATATATTAGTATATTCTGAAACGTGCTCTCCGTTAAAAAAATAGCCTAATATATTTAGTCGTTCATTTATTAAGTTTACTAATATATTTCGCGTTTTGAACTGTTTAAACTTAGTGCCGAAAAGATATTGATACTATAGGTACATTGAGAGTTAATGTTAGTTAATAATAATATGTATATGTCATTAAAATTAAATTTTATGACACAGGCAGATCCTGAACGAGCATAAACAGCGTTCTCTCTACAGCTCTAACCAATTGAGCTACCGTGTCCTGCCCGTATTGTAAATTTTTTCGAATCGATTTTTAATTTATATAATGCCACCATGTGAAAAAAAGTAGAGTTTTCAACTAAAAGTTTTTTTTTTTAAATATTTGTAATGATCTATATATTTTCAGCGATGGGGGGAAGCTTCAGCGCAGTAGACCAAACCTTTGTTGGCTTGGGACCGTTCTCTGAACCGGAGACTCGGTCATTCTCTAGTTACATAGAGAGTATTAGTTCAAACCTGGTGGGCATGCTGTCGTTCAGAGGTTATGGTCAGAGATTCATACTTCCTTTTGCGCATACCAGTGACCCTATGTACAATTACCAGGATATGGTAAGTTCTTCGCTCCTTACTTACTCTCCGTTGTCTTGTGGAGTTCTTTTTTCTATGTATCGTCCAAATATTCTAATCTTTCAAAATATTCGACCACCTCTGTAGCTAGTTGGTTAAAGGTGTTGTCTAGCATTGCGTTAAGGTCCTGGGTTTGAATTTCGGGGAAACAATGTATTGTTTTGGCCGGGCAGGACACAGATGTCTGATCAAGTACTTGAAGTTGATCAGACTTAGAAATCAATATAGATTTATAGAATGAGTGAATCGGACACAGAAATGTGTCGTTTTTGGTTTAAATATTATAGGATAGAATTTTTAATAATCATTTTTAAGGTGCTGTTATTAAATAAAATAAAAACGCTTATTATCATAAAATATCTTATTTTAATTGAAGTAAATCTGGTTATTTCAGATAAAAATTGGAAGAAGAGCTATGGGTTCTCTTGCTGTTAAATATGATACGCAGTACAGAGTAGGCGTCTCCAGAGATGTTTTTGGTAATTAACACTCTAGCTTTTATTGCATAAAATATATTAGGTAGAAAAGTTTAAAAAAATGGACGCAGGCGGAACTTGAACCCGCTACGAATGGTAGAGTTGCCATTTATATACTATATTATTTCTGTCAATAAAGTCTGACATAATATAGGGAAGATTAATTATTGTATATATTTGGTAGCGTTAGCAAAAAAGGATTTATGTAGCTTTCGAGATTTAGTAAGCCAGAACATAAACATATATTTTTATAAACCATTACAGATGGCGCCACTGGTATGTTGGCTGATTGGGTGAAGTTCCGATTTAATCCACCTATCGTAGCGACGTATGCGCTTAGAGATACCGGCACTTGGGGTTACACTCTCCCAATAAAACAAGTGCTACCATCTTGCGAGGAAACATTCGATTCAATTATGGCTGTAATTCGCGAAGCTAAACTTATTAATGTATTGTAAAAGTGTTGGAAATAAACTTGTTGTAAAAAGGTTCGCTCTCATCTTCTCGTAATGTTGTCTCATTACTACTCATTCGTTAGCATAGTTTTAATTTTTTTAATTGAGATGTTCAAAGATTTCCTTAATTATTTTTAATACTTTTAGATTAACACTGTTTTAGGTAGATATTATTACATCTACCTAAATATATTGCTTTTCTTAAACAAAGTATAGTCTTTATCAAATAACAAAGTATAATTCGGCCAAGTACGAGTATTAAAAAACCCGAGTATCAAACGAGTACACGGCCCATCTCTAGAATTACCTATATATTTACGTAAAACACTATATTGTTTACGTTGTAAATTAGAGGAAAATAATTATGAGTCGTCATAAAAATCATAGTAAGGAAAAAACATACTCACCAAAATATGTCTTTTTCCTGCCTTAGTCACATAAAAATTTGTTACATCACTTTAGTATTAAACCAGTTGTCGGGCGTTACACACGGAACTTGTATATAACAATGAGGTGAATTGCATCATTATTATAAAACACAGCTTGTTTTAAGAAAGTTTAGAATACTTAATCTTAAATAATAGCTAACATTGATAGTAAAATAAGCTAAGTTATCAAGTACACATTGTAAGTAGAATACATTTAATTAAATAAATTTAAATTTAATACTTGACTATCCTCCTGTGCTGTGGATTCACATAATGAATGGTATCCCAACCATCTAACATCTCAACGACATATGCTATCGACCCATTGTGGCTTTAGTTATTCAGACATTCTCAAACTGTCAAACGCAATTAAAATTCACGGCTTTATGGTGGACGGTGGTTCATGACTCGGTGGTGATCGAGTCCAACATGTTGTAGAAAAGTTATAAAATAATTAGAAATATGTTTGACCCAGTTGTGATTGAACCTACGACCCGTGGATAGTTAGCCATAAATTACTACCATTAGCTGAACAAGCTCGTCAAAATCATCAAATATCTTAATTAACATAATAGTATAAAAATATATGGAAAACAATATAAATAACAATAATAACTTGAAGACGTTATCTTTTTCACGTGATGTCATTATATGAATTTGAAATTGAATCAATTTAGAATTGGTTGGAGCAGCAGCATGGATCGTGTGACTACCGGTTCAAGCCCCGCCCGTATCGTAATTTTGTTTAAAGTAATATTAATATAAACTGTGTAAGGCTTTCACGGCCATCGTTCGGCATATTATTGTCTTTCGAGTTGTTCGGCTCGCGTGAGCGAGAAAGGGTAAATACTGTCTATAGTTTACGCGAGTAGTACACATTTAAATAAAACAGTTTAACGGTTTAAAACGCGATATATAAGTTAAACTTATTTGAAAATGATTTTTAACTTCGGCGCGACGTTTCGGATGCTTTTCAAACAAGTTTAACTAATATATTGCGTTTTAAACCGTTAAAGTGATTTATTTAAACGAGAATAGGTTCTTGACGTATCGCTATCACGTGCGGATGGAGATGTTAACTCCTCGATTGCTCGGGGAATTAGTTATTATAGTTAATTCTCGCTCACGTCGGCCGCAAAGCCCGAAAGACAAGAATATTAATATAATTTTGGTTAATTTAGAGCTTATTTATTTTCTTATGCATTTTCAGGCACCTAGTAATAATTCTATTATTCCTTTTACCATTTGGAAGCCAAACAGAAACGGAGCTAACTGATCTTGAATCGTTAAATACAGCAGAACAACTTAATTTGATGTTTTCAGACGCTCCTGGTTTGGGTATGTTACATTAAAACTTGAAGATCATGTTGTATAAAGTAAAATTCTGTTTGAATAGATACAGAAATGTATTTACCCCATGCTCCGGGACATAAACATGGGGCAGATATCATTTTATGTCAATTTCAGTGATAAATTATAGGTAAGTATTGTCTGCACTATCCTTTCCTGGCCTAGAAACGATTTATATATTTTTTTTGTATTCGAACCCTGGACCTAACAAAACAACCCCATTGCTGGGCAATATAAGTTTATATTTTTAACCAAAACTGTTTAATAGAACTCTATCCACCTTGGAAGTTGGAACACAAACAAATGCTTAACTATGTGTATCACTTAAAGTACGCGTGAGATTCTTAAATTATAAACCTTTATATAAACAATTAATTTTCATACAAAACACTTATTCAGTTTTAACTAAGGATAACCGGCTTTAAAAATATTAATATTAAATAAAAGTTACATTTTCTAAACGATTTAAAACGTGAACTATTATAGTTAACTAACGTCGGATCTTGGATAACGATCAATATACCAATATAATTCCCGTTTCGAACCGTTTAAAACAGTTTTATTTAATAGCCACTCGCGCATAGTGCAATATCATTTCAATATTACGTACATACTTATGTCCCATTTAAATTCTGATAAGATCCTGTATGTACTATTTTAGTGCCTTTATCTTACCCGAACATAATTCATAATCCGATTGTCAAGATCGATAAACAATTAAATGAAGATTGTGTTATCGATGAAGAATTCTTCGACCCGACTGGACGTCAAAATGTTACGACAAGGAGTAATTCTTTTAATGTTATCTTTAGTATCCGCAAAATTTCGCTACGATGGCTACACGCTGTACAAAATACTACCGGAGAATGACAAACACATTAATTTACTCCAAGAACTGCAAAACGACACGAGATACGATTTCTGGACAGAACCGGCGCCTGGATCGGAGTTCGTGAATGTCATGTCTAGTCCTGGACATAAGAACGAATTTGAAGATTTGCTGAATAGAAATGGCGTGAAATTTACAATTTCTATGACTAACGTGCAAGAGTGAGTAGTTATATTTATATTATTTTGGGGTTCTCAATTTTAGAATAAATTATGTTTACTTACACGAAAGTAAGTAAATAACTTAAAGAGTCAAACCTTCAAATTATTAGATTTCATAAAATTTAAAAATCAATTTTAGATTGAAAATTTTTAACAGCACGATCAGGACTTGATCCAACATCCACAGCAGTCCGTGCTGTTCCTCTAACTAATTGAACTACCGCGTTCTACGCGTCATCTTCGATTTTTTTGATATTGATACAAGCACTTCTCACACTATTTAGTTCCACAAAATTCGAATCCAGGACCTCAGTCACATTTAAATTACAACGAAGTTAAGATAGAGGGTACTTTTTTTATTCACGTGCATTTTTCTTTCAGAGCCATTGATAAAGAAAATATTGGAACATACGTGAGCCGGGATCTGCGGTCTATGAGATGGGACACATATTACACTCTTGGACAAATTAATACCTGGCTAGACGATCTAGTAGCAAGGCATTCTAATGTAGCATCCATCATCGTGGGAGGTCAATCTTATGAAGGCAGACCCATTAGGGGAGTCAAAATTTCCCACGGGTCAGGAAAAAGGGCAATTTTTATTGAAAGTGGTATACATGCTAGAGAATGGATTACTATGGCAACTACTAACTATATAATTGATCAGTTGTTGAGAAGCACTAACACAGAGGTTAGAGGGATCGCTAGAGAATTTGATTGGTATATCTTCCCAGTAACTAATCCGGATGGTTACGTATGGAGCCATGATTATGTAAGAAATTTATAATTCAATTGCATATTGTATGATATTGGTTTTAATAAGCAACCATTACCTTTTTGAAATTATCTGACGGGATCGTTGGTAGCAAAGTATGCTTTATAATTAATTAATCGGTCATTGCTTAGATTCCTACTGGCACATCATATATCTAAAAATTAAATATTTTTTAAAGAGATATCTTTTTTGCAATCTGGATAATATGAGCCAGTGTAGATGGTTGGTAAGAATATTGAAATTCTGTTCGGGTCATTAAAACCAGATAAAAAGCCGTTAATAAAAATCCTATTCCAATATTGATTCAATTCACAACCGAAGTGTTCAATGCAAAATTGGTTGACAGCACAACTTAATTATATGTTATATGGCTGATAAATATAGCTTTTGTTAAAGAGCTCTTTCTCTTTCTTTTCTAGGCTCGAACATGGCGTAAAAATAGAAGACCTATTGGTACAGAATTTGGAGTAGACTTGAATAGAAACTGGAACAGCAATTGGTTAGGTAGGTTAAGCTTCTTCCATAATTTTCCATCCTATAATAATAATATAAATCTACCTCCAGTTTGTAGCGATTGAGCGCTTTTTATAAAATACTGAATATTTTTCATCTATCCTCTTATCTACCTATCTTAAACAATTTCAGCTCATGGATCCAGTACTAACCCTGCCTTAGATAATTATGCAGGGCCAGGGCCTTTTTCTGAAATAGAAACACGTACACTATCTGAATACATCCGATCGTTAAGTGACAAAATAGATTTGTATCTCTCAATGCATTCCTTCAGTCAGCTACTCCTTGTGCCTTTTGGAAATTCGACGCAAGCTTACGGGAACTACCACGACGCTGTACGTTTTTTTTATTTTTTAAATAGGGTATGGAACAATACGACTCTGTGTCATTAAAAGCGCTTTTATTATCAAGCAAGTTATTGTTCGGACTCGTGTCTTGCAGAAACTATGTTTTCTCGAGATTTAAACTCTCACTGTGAATCTTTGGTCCATTGAGATGGCCAAAGATGTTGGAAGAATATTAAAAAAATCTAAAATGATGGTTATAGAGATGATGATTATACAATATCTGCTGCAACAACGGACTGTTTCTTGTCATTTACATAATACTAATAAGACCTGGCGATCATCTTTTGTAGGTTAATATCGGCAGACGTGCCATGGGAGCGTTATCCGTTAGATATGGAACCCAGTACACCACAGGAAGTATTGCTGAAGCTATATGTAAGTTGTACCCGTATATATAAAATTCCAATTTAATTTCACAATTCAAAAGTACGAGTACTAATTGCTACCATATTTAAAAATAAAACTCTAATTGTAATGTACCAAAAAACTTGGTAAAAAAGACAAAAATCTTTAACATAAAGTATTGCCTGCAATTTAAGCAAATATACACTCAATCTGCTACTTTTAACCGGGTTAAACGCAAAATATATTTCTTAATTTTTTGTTAACTAAGACTAGGCATTTCGAAGTAACTATAGCGCCTATAAAGCAACTAAAACGTGAGGTCGTAGGCAAAATTAAATTGATGTATGAATTTCGCTTTAAAACAGTTTTACATAAGACAGTGACTTCGTCTGCGTCTCGTTTAGACTTTATACTATTGCATTTTTTTTTTTAAGATCATTTAAAGACAAAGCACTCTTTAATATATTTTTTGGGAATCGTGAACTTTCCCAGCGCACGCAAGGGAATTTCTCAAACATTAATAATTTTTACCCATTTAGTCCACATTTCCCACTGTTTCTTCGCTCATATTGGCCGCAGCGTTTTATAACCTAAAGCCTTCCCCGATAAATGCTCTGACCTATCTGAATCTAAATCTTCAATTTAAACCAGTAGTTCTTTAGATTCTTCGGTTTCATAATATTAGTCTATACTAATAATATATCTATATATATTTAAATAAAACACTTTAACGGTTTAAAACGCGATATATTAGTTAAACTTATTTGAAAATGATTTTTAACTTCGGCCCGACTGCCCCCACGGGGAGTCTCCCCGTGACCACGGCTGCTGCAAAGCATCCGAAACGTCGGGCCGAAGTTAAAAATCATTTTCAAATAAGTTTAACTAATATATCGCGTTTTAAACCGTTAAAGTGTTTTATTTAAATGTGTACTACTCGCGTAAACTATAGACAGTATATCTATATATAATAATAATTTACTTGGTTCGTTATCGTAAGCGTGAGCATCTGTTTTCAATTCTGAAAATGTCTCTTTTACAGACTTAGCCACAGGCGGCAGCATTGACTGGGTGAAATCTGCTCTTAATATACCTCTGGTCTACTGCTACGAGTTCAGGGATAGAGGACAGTATGGTTTTCTGCTTCCAGGTAACCAAATTATACCAAACAGCGAAGAAGTATTGGATTCCATAGTAGATTTGATCTTCCAAGCAAAACGGTTTCAATATCTGAACAATTCAAACAGGGTAAATATATCTGTGTTTAGCCTGATAACTGTTTTAATAGTCATGTTATTAAAGTAACAAATTGTAATATATTAGTTAAATTAAATATATTTGGTTGTTATAAGCAGTATTTTATTTTATACTAGCTGTGCCCGCGACTTCGTTCGCGTGGAATAGTGACTTGAGGTAGGATTTTTAATTATTTAGGCTGTTTATTAATTTACGTAATTGCGCATTTATCGCAGCCAATCTATGTTGAAAGTGCTACTTTGCCGCAACACTCTAACCTCACATCACTCCTACTCTCACTCCCACTCCGATTCCCAAAAAGCCAAAGAAGAAAGCTTCAAAAACCACGAATTTCCATACAATAATTCACCCCCCCCCTCCTCTTAACCCCTTTTTCGCAATAAAAAGTAGCCTATGTTCTTTCTCAGGGCCCAGACCATTTTTATACCAAATTACACGCATTTTATAAGATATATTTCCACCAATGAACTAACGGGCCCGTAAAAACATACCGCGGTTTTGAAACCTTTTATTAAGGGTATTAGTAACTAGTCTTCACATAATTTGGTAAAAACAAACTGCACCCAATACAAAATACTCTAGTCATCCCTAAACAAAGACTTACTAATAATTGTTATAAATGAGCGGCTAATGTAAAACATTGTGGTAGTCTGTTGATTTATTTTTACGTCTAACACCACAGTGTTACCATACAGACACAGAGGAGAAAAAAAATAAAATATTTCAGTAAACTTTGCGTGGTGATTTAAAAAGACACAATTGCATCACCGGTTATTATGTATGCTTTTTACTTATAAATAGAATATTTATAACCGATTAAAATGCGAAATATATTAGTTAACTTAATTACAATTTATTTCATCTACAGTCCGACGATGTCAAAGTCAAATTTGCTACGCCGTCTGCTTCGTCGTAGTTGGTTTTTGGAGAATATATTTTTTAAACCGTCAAAAGTGTTGTATTTTATTGTGTACTATAGCGAATCTAAGCGAATGTAAAATTGAAGTTTAAAACTCAACAAATCATTGTATGCCTGGATTCACTGTTTGTAAGTAACCTGTGGCTGAATTAACTGTATGCAGGTGGGGTTTTATGAGTTTAACTACCTGAGTAATGGGTATGAAATTTATAATGTAGTGGTCTATTACATCCATCACTGGTCTCTAAGAGTACACAATACACGTGTATAACATATAGAAAAATAATAATTTATATGTGTAAAGTGTTTGAACAATTCAACAAACTAAAAGGCAAATGTCATCAATACTGTCTGTAGTTTACGCGAGTAGTACACTCCCCGTGACCACGGCTGTTTAACAACGCGTTTTAAACCGTTAAAGTGTTTTATTTAAATGACATCTATTTTCAATAAGAACTGTTGCTAGTAAATATTTACTAAAATTTAAAGCTGTTACCTAAGAACACACAATGTAAAACAGTAAACCAATCTAACAACCAAATCAATAAAAAACTGATTAAAGCCTTTTCTTACGTGCCATTAAGATTTTCTGGTTATCCAATATCCCCACTCTCCCCTACTTTTCTATGCAGATTTTTTTAATGTCAGCCCGAAGTTTGACAGTGTGGTGACGTGCATCACCATTGTTCCTCGAAGAGCAATTAAACTGTAGTACTATGGTACCACCAATATAGAGCAAGGTGGAAAATCTCTATAATACTCGAGAAAAGTGGTACTCTAGAACAGTGTGATTTCTCCGCAGTATTCTTTTTAATAAGTAGGTAGAAATAAGTGACTATACAGAGTGTTTATAAAAAAACAGTGTGCATTGAACTTACGCGCTGGTGCTATCCGCGCATCGATCAATTACATTCGAAATAAGAGCACTTCTTATCAATAATGGATCAATCATTATAGTACCGGCAAAGCGCGTTGACCATTTTGAGCTGGGAAGGCACGTGGAAAATGCCATGTTAGGTAGACTGGAAGAGTTCGCTTGTTAGAGATAAGGCCGCCCCTTCCTCTCCATTCTAGTTTATATAAGTTTTATATATTATAGAATAAATAAATAAAATGCTTTTAAGACGAAAATACTGTCTGTTGTTTACACCAGTTAGCACACATTTAAATAAAACACTCTAACAGTTTAAAACGCGATATATATTACTTAAACGCCGGGTCGTAAGTAAAATAATTTTCAAATAAGTTTAAGGGGAGTGATTTGAAATGTTTTTAAGAAACTTAATAAATACCCATTTTAAGATACAAGATAAATACTAAATTTTGCCTAAATAAAAGTAGTTGTCAATTGTAGATCATATTTTTATTGCTTTATAAATTCTCCATCTTGACTACTTATTTAAGTCTGTGGATTCCGAATATCCAAAGGTGAAATAGGTCGATAGCGCATAGTTCACATGCTATAGGCTAGGGTATATTACCTACCATGAAGCGAACCCCATGCTTGCCTGGCCTCCTCTATGATGGAACAAAAAATTGTTAGTAAACATGGTCTAGCTGTGCCAGCGACTTCGTCCGCGAGAATCGTTATTTTGGTCATCCAAAATTGTTTTTGTAAACTGTTACCTACGTAATCGGTCGCGTCCCGTCGTTCTTGCGAGTTCATCTTAAGAGATAGACATATACTGTCGCGTATTTTTTTTTTATTATTTAAAGAGGAATTCTCTCATACATATTACTTAGTTGTCTTAAACCGTTTTTGCAGCGTACGCCTCGAAAACCCATAATAAGGAATAATTTTCCTAATTTTTGTCACATTTCCCGCTCACATCGCCCACATCTTCGCTCCTATTATTTACAGGACGATGTTTTATAGTCAATAGCCTTTCTCGATAAATGTTCTAACTAACACAAATAGAATTTCTCAATTCGAACCCGTAGTTCCTGAGATTAGCGCGTTCAAACAAACAAACTCTTCAGCTTTATATATTAGTATAGATAGATATGTGTCTATTGTCTCTTTATCAACAATCATTTTAATCGAATGTCTAACTGTTGAGTCAAACTAAGCCAATCTTATTATAATTTTATAAAGAAAGTTACAAATTATTTTCAAACACGCCATCCTAATGTGAGCTGGGTATAAAGGCTCAATAAACATTTTCACACTGTTCAATCAATCGAGTTGAACGGGACCGCCTCTCGATCTCGATACTTTCACTAAATATAGATCTATAATTGCTTTTACAAGTCGATTCAATAACAATATAGGAATTACTGTATATTTGATATTATTCGCTTGAAACATAGCTTTAATACGTAGGTGTAACTATTGCCTTTAGTTTACATTTAAATAAGATAATTTAATAAATTTAACGGTTTAAAACGCGAAATATGGCTTTGTAAAGTAGCTGGAACGTCGTATGGTAGTTAAAAAATTTACATTATTTTGTTTTACACTGTTAAAACTGTTAAAAAAAAACATCTGTGTACCAAATTTCATTCAAATCCGTTCAGTAGTTTTGGCGTGAGAGAGAAACAGATAGACAGACAGACAGAGTTACTTTCGCATTTATAATATTAGTAAGGATATATCCTTTGTAACTTGATAGAAAACGTAGCATTAAGCGTTTCGTTTGAGTTAAATCTCAGACTGAAAAAATACTTCCACACAAGAACATGACTAGGCGATTATATGCGAATCTTTTTAAAACAGCTAGGTTTCGAATTTTCCAATTATTGGTGATAAAGCAACTCAAGGTACAACAACAAATCAACGTCTTTGTAATTAGAAGTATATTTTTGTAATAACACATTTATTAGGTTAAATGACTAGTAGAATTAAAAAAGATGGTAATTTAATTGTGTGTATTTTATTCGAGAAGGACACCATTATTTAAATAAATGAACCGAGGAAGCTTCGGACAGTAGTCAAAATAAATTCTATAGTTAGTTTGCATTTTGAGCCGTTAAAATTATAATAATTAAAAAACGATATATATTATAAATAATAAAAAATTACGACTCGGACAGGACAACTAGCTCTAGAGCTACGTAAACAACAGTTAACAGATACTTGATTAGAGCAACAGCAAGAAACGCTATGGATGCCGGGTCATCTCCCCCCGAGTCGTATTTTTTTTAAATTCATATTCCATTTTGAATTTAGCTATATGGTGCCATCATGTGCAATATATGACATGTGAAATATACTACAATTTTTGAAGTATATGTCACAGTTTTTGTTCACTGTAATCATACTAAGCTAATGTTTTTGCAATGAATAGCTTTTCAATATCAAACTAATTAATATTAGCTAACCACAATGCTACGAAACAAAGTTACGGCGGAATGAAAACAGGCAAAGCAGCTGTTACACGAGTCGGAACATTCTTTAGTCCCAGTGGAATTGTTCGCGGCCCGACATTTACCTGTGTTTGGTCGTGGATGTAAAAAAAAATGATACGGTATAGTGGCCTGTTAACAACGTAGTAAAAAACCGTAGTCATTATATGATGAGGTATGAATTGCTGATGTTAATTTATTGAAAATTTTGTTGACCGTCAAAAAAGTTATCTTGGCAGTTACATAAATATATATTTTTTAGTTGTAGCCTAAAACTATTGAGTTAAGGAGAAGTTTTAAAATTTAAATATTTTTACATTTATGTACATGATGACATTGTATAAATTACTATCATATTTTGGCGTTGGCTCCATTGGTTAACAGCACGGAACTCTGTAGATGCCGCTTCGGGTCCCGCCCATGCCGTAAATATTTTGATTATAAATAGATTTTTAGCTTAACAAAAGTGTTTATTGACGTCGTTTATACGGTAGACCTTTTTGATTTAATGTTAAATAGGATGCAGCCGCGATGGTCACGGGGTCATATCAACCCCGTTTTAACCCGTTAATATAGTTTTATTTAAATGTGTATAACTCGTGTAAACTACAGACAATACCTAATCTATGTGATCAAGACTTGATTAGGTATCTAAATGAAAATACCTTTAGGTTTACGTCAATATGGCAATATAACATAAAGCTACTCATGATGCCGTATCCATTTTTCTATCTAAACATCTTTCGTATTCAATTACACTGTGAGTCCAAAAAAAATATTTCATACAAATGTGAATATAATTGGAGCTATCATTATTTACTTTACTCAAAGTAGACTGTTGTCGAATAAATAAATTATTTTAAATTATACTTAGTTTGTTTTGTGGAACGGAAATAAAATGCCATAATAGTCTAACTTTGGGGATATTAAATTTAATGAATATTAGACATCCATCATTATTCGGTTTAATCTTTGAATGACACACTGACAAAGCAGGTCTTGTCTTTTATGGGAGCGTGTCTAAAACTTAGGACGCACTACGTTGATCTGGTGGTGATCGTTAGAGCGTCTGAAGCAATGGCGTATCTTCGTAAATTGGAAATTCAATGGAGCTAAATATTAGATTTAAAAACTTAACGATAATGCGTCTAGCTGTTCCGAACTATAAAGTTAGTTTATTTTACCAAGTTACTACTACTATATAACTCTATAAATATAATAATTTAACTATGGATACTTGGAAAGAATGGATGTAATGTAAAACTTGGACATTTAATATAGAGAATTAAAATTAAGTGTTTAATAGCGACATGCTTGTTGGTCCAATAAATACCGGCTGCTTAGAAACGGATTGTGGGTTCGAATCTCACTGAGGCATTCATCTGGAAAACCTGGATATTGAATAGGTGGTAGAAATATAAAAGCCGAATGTAAACGATATTTACCTTAGTTTGTGGATTTCATAAGGTCCAAAGCTGCAGCAGGTCGACTGCGTATCGTCCTACGCTGTTACTTCAACTTCCATTGGGTAAATCCCATGCTCTGTCTTCCTCTGTAAATAAATAAAAAAGCTATTCGACTCGTTCAGAAATTGGCACCCTTGTTAATCTAACATAATAATCAACGGGTTCGATCCCCCCCGGGTGCAACATGGTTGTAATTTTTCAATTTATAATTTCTCTGAAACATGTTGGATTTCGTCTGCAAGTCTGGATTTTAAATGGATGGTATTAATATAGCAATTCCCTCTGGATTACGAATCACGATCCACAGATGTAAAAGCCATGAAGCTGAATGGCGTTTCGGTTTCAGTCTGTGGATTTCCGAATATCCAGAGCCAAAATAGGGCGACAGCGCATCTTGTTTAGAAGCTATAGACTGGGACCTTCCATCAAATGAAACTCATGCTTGCCTGTCTATTTTAATTTACGATAAATGTCAACAGGCGCTCTCACGCTCCTTTCAAATTGCTGTCGATATTTCAATTTAACCATGTGAAAAACTCGCCTGGCCTATAATTTGTCAACCATTGTTTGTTTCGAAAGTAATTTAAATAACGTCTGACTACTTCACTTGATAGATAAACATTACTTTAGGCACAGACTATAGTCTTTTATATAAATTAACTTAATTACACAGAAAAAGTGAAAGACATTAAAAATTGGGGATATGGTTTTTTCTAGGTTATTACAAATACCAAAGGAATAACCAAATTGAAGTACTATAATAATTAAATAAAACACATTTAACGGTTTAAAACGCGAAATATATTATTCAACTTGTTTTTAATATAGTTTCATAAGTCAGACTCATAAGTCATATTTTGCGTATGATACCGTTAAAAATATTTATTTAAATGTGTACTACTTTTGTAAACGGACAATAGTTTACGGACTATAATCATTTTGTCTGTAAAATTTGGATGGTAAATGTTTTGTTGTATTTGCCTGTCTTCCTCTATCGTAAAAAATAAGAATTACGATATATAAAAGTTATAAATCTTCCAAATAAAAACGCAATAACACGAACAATATTTGATAAAGAAAAAATAGAAAGCGAAATAAAGCGAAGAAAATGACTTTCTAACCCACATCAAAATAGTGGCGGACTCAATACTAAAGCCAAAACCTATTTCCGAGTGCGGACGCCACCTGGGGGGCTCTTTTGACCCCATTCATATGCTAATGTTACATGTATATTTGCTTTGCCGCCATTCACTGTTCGATCCTCGGCGTTCGGAAGTGTCTTATACTCTTGATTTACGATTCGTGTAGGTTGAGTTTTTGGCTCCGTTATTTTATGTTTTCGGTTGATCGAACGCGATTTCGATAAGAAACACGTAACTTCGAGTACTTGAGTATCGATCGCATATCTGAGTTACTTTATGTGTTCTTCGGGAAAGAAATGGAAAGATTTTTTTATGATAGAGCAGGATCATCTCCCACCAAATGAACCGTCACTTGATGGAAGGTTACATGCCCCAGTCTTATGAAACTTCAACAAGAAGTCGGCTTATTTCGGTTTTAAATATTTGGAAATCCACAGACTGAAACAGGAAAGCCTTATCATGTGGTGTGTTCCTACTACGTTATATCTAGATTTCCAGACGAAGTCCAACATGTTTAAAAAAAAAAATTGATTAGATACAGGATGGACCTAGTGGGGATCTAAACCAGGTCTCGGTGACTATACGTTGCTACTATTAGACCAACGATATACCCATCTCTTTACACTCTAACCGTCTTGTCTCATGATACTAAAATTAAGCTTCTTTGCTCATTTATCTTTGTATTTAATTTTTATACATTTAGGTATTTTGAAGGTAATATGTTAAGTGTTTTATTATCAATAACGTTGTAACAGTTGACAAAAGTTACACAATTCGTTAATTCGTATATTTTATCTCATTCTATTCTTAACCACGACTACAGCAGGTCAAGTAACTATTTCACGGTCTTACAAAACTTTCAGACTCCCTAATTTCCTTTGAATGAAACAAAACGAAAGTTCGATACAAAAGGAGCACGCTGTGAATACTAATTTCTACAATTGTCTAATTAGCGTCGGATTAGTCCCTTGTGCGGCTTAGTACCCCCTAATTATCCTGGATCTACCTGCCGAGGTCTCACAGACCGTCGATATTCAATTACACACGTAGGTATTCTCCTCCAGGCGATCTCTTCAGGCAACATTACACGGTTCTGTTTACTAGAACATACTGTATATGTGTACAGTACAATGACTATCGTATTTACGTAATTGATTTTTGACTACGACCCGACGTTTGTCTTCGATTTATTTTTGCGATTTCTACAGATACTCATTCGACGTTCTTTAATCTTCAGAATTGGAGATATACACAAAACATTTTCAAAGGTTCGATGAGTAAAATAAGAATAATGTAAAAATGACTTAATTGATTTTTGACTACGACCCGACGTTTGTGTTCGATTTATTTTTGCGATTACTACAGATACTCATTCGACGTTCTTTAATCTTCAGAATTGGAGATATACACAAAACATTTTCAAAGGTTCGATGAGTAAAATAAGAATAATGTAAAAATGACTTCATTGATTTTTGACTACGACCCGACGTTTGTGTTCGATTTATTTTTGCGATTACTACAGATACTCATTCGATGTTCTTTAATCTTCAGAATTGGAGATATACACAAAACATTTTCAAAGGTTCGATGAGTAAAATAAGAATAATGTAAAAATGACTTAATTGATTTTTGTCTACGACCCGACGTATGTGTTCGAGTGACAGATAAAGACCCGACAGCAAGTATTAAGTTGTTTGTAGTTAACTGACATATTTCTTCTTGACCTACATAGCTGTATACTTACTACACTACTATACGTATACAAAATTACGATGCGAGGAAAAACAAATAATGTTTTTTTTTTCTTTGTTTAAAACCTTTACCAAACAACATATTAGAAGCAGTTTATTTGCTATCTTAAAATTGCCCATTAGCTCAAACAAACGAATTTGTTACCTATTGCTCAAAACTAAATTTCAATCTTGTCTGAACACACTTTTCCCCTTTGATTGGATATCATTGCTCACCAATTACTTAGAGTGATTGTCTTATATACGGTGAGATGCAAATCCGTGTTCACTGAATTTTGGAAACTCCAGTGCTATTTAACTATTGGAAGCCTTTGATACGATCTGCAGGGTTTGCTAAAGGAATACCGCGTTATCTTTTGGTCGAAACGGTGGCTAAGTATGTGTTAATTAATTAATTTAATTTAAATTTGCTGTGATTTTACAGGACGCTTCGGTAACACTCTGTCATTAAGCGATCCTCAGACGATCAATATTATTGTGCAATTTGGATTACACAATAATTTGACGGCCAAACACAAGCGCTTCAACGTCGTCTATACATGATCAATTACACAATTTTATTGTCATACGCTTAGCATTCGTTCTTTTTTTAAGCTAAGTAAATTTTATTTCCTTCTTATAACAGTTTTAACGATTCAGAACGCGAAGTATATTTGTTAACTTATTATCAATTTAATTTAACCACAGCAGACGTTGTCAAATTTATAAAACGAGAGCATTTCAAGCAAACTTATTTAATTAAGAATATTCTTTAGGTAAAAACTGCTATATTAAGTTCGTCTCGTCTTTAATTCTATCAGCTGAAGTGATCATGCGAGGCACGTCTACTCACTGAACTGTGAGGCCACGCTCAGATTGCTACTATTTACCCCCTGCGCAAATAAACGCGACTTTTAATTTCAATTTCACTAAATCCTATATCTGTATATATATTTCTTTCAAATGTAGTTTCATTGCAATCCATATATATCTGAAACTGTGTGTGATTCAATCGATAAATTTTATATAAAAAAACCTCTATTATCGCTCGTTGTTCCTTGTTTATTTTTTTTATCCACGAATGGAAAACTTACAGTTAGTACTAATGAACTATATAGTCAGGATGGTCAACAAATTAGATATCAGAAAGTCAAATAATTTTTTTTTTGCTTTAAGAAATATATATATAACAAATTACAAAATTATATTATTATTATTACATTCCTTAAATTAGTATCGTATTTAAATTTACAGTTATTAGATTTATTCTTACCCCTGTGACAATTTTCTCTAACAAAATATTATAAAAATATGACAAGCATGTACAAGGCACTAGCAGATCCAGTATTCATCGTCGCATACGTTTATAATATATGTGTCGCTTTAAGTAAATAACCAAATAAGTAACATGCGTTCTATAGTACAGTGAGTAAAGACGAAAAAAGATTCGATTCTTTTATTAGACAGGGGAAGACGTAGACTTTTAACGGAAACCTATTGTTGTCGCGTTAGATTGGAGTGGTGTCTTTCGTGGTCGCATTATACCGGCGGACTGAAGTAGGTCACCTAGTATTAGATCTTGTGAATTAGAAATGTAGTTTTAGTGGTTGTTCTCATGAGAGACTGTTATAGATCGTATTTCAAGTAGAGCGTTTTATTTATAAAGATTTGAGAAGCTTCTTATTTAATGGTAGCTATGTATGGCTAATAAATAAGGGTCGTGATTTCAACCCCACGAAGTACAACAACTGGGGTTTCTAGTAGTCTCGTCTGGAAAT